TTCGAAAACGTGGTACCTGAACCTGGGTAATAATACGAGGCAGGTGAGTCTCAGGCCAGCGGGAATATCGATGGAACCTGAAGTTGGCAAAAAACGTGGCACCTGAACCAGGGTAATACTGTGAGGAACGCGATCAGGCCACGCGGGCACACTGATCTGACATGTGGGCGGGAAACCTGGGCAATGCATCAGGTTGTGCTCTTCGTTTTTTGGAGGGGCGGCCAGAGCTTTGTTTTTCGGCACCCGTCTGGCCGAACTCTCAGGAGAATCGGAACCTGCGGGATGAGTATAACTAGACTAGTACTGCAGCGTAGTAGCTATCTCGAACTCCCCCTGATGAGGCCGCTTCTGGCGGTGGCTGAAACTAGTCGGGGATGCCTGGCGCTTCCAACCTCATGCGTTTTCACTCTTTCCTGGGGGAGGAAGGGAGGTGATGCCATAGCCTTCGCTATGGATGATGTGCTTTTTCGTTCATATCTGTTCTTTGGGAACTATTTTCGAGATTGCTTTTCGCATAGGACTCTCGCCGTAAGTAGCATGGCCGTGTATGCAAGCGTTGTGGTCAGACCTTGTTTCTGACTTGCTGTTCTTATCTGGTACTGGCAGAGGCAACCCGCCAGGACGATTTACCTGTGCTTTGGTGGCCTGTAGTTTTTAGCCTTTTTTTAGCCTTTCACGCGACGTGACTTACGCGGTACTGTGAGCTGCGAGAAGACGTCTTTCAGTAAGGAGCACGACTTAGCGATGGCAAGTGGTGGAACGGTGGAAACGGCGGCGGAGGGAATTATGGTGTGTGGAATGGCGGGAACGGCAGTTGTGGAAATGGGAACGGCGGGGTGAACAACTAGAATGGCGGGGGCAGCAACAACGACAACGGTGGGAACAACGGTCGTAATGGAGGGGGCGGAAACGGTGGTAACGGTGGAGGTGGTAACTGGGGAAGTAGGAACGGTAACGGAGGAGGGAGAAATGAAGGTAATTACGGCAACGGAGGCAGCCATGGGAACTGGAACAATAGTGGGAATTGGAACAATGGGGGCAGCGGGGGGAACGGGAATGGCGGCAATAATGGCGATTGGCGGAGGTCCGCTCGCTGTTACAATTGCAACCAGTTCGGTCACATTGCCCGGGAATGCAACGCGCCCCGGCAGAACCAAGGTGGCGGCAATTGGAACAACGGCAACAATGGTGGTGGAGGAGGATGGAACAGAGGACGTAGTAGCAATGGAGCAAGTAGCTCTTCGACGACGGGGGAGGCAACAAATATGGTTGGGATTAGTCGGGAGTTGGAGGAATCACTCAAGGCGGTGTGCCTGTTTTCACAAAGGCATATCGAAATGGAGGAACGACGCGAGACCGAGAAAAGGGAAGCAGAAGAACGAAGGAAACAACAGGAGGAGGAGAAGCGAGTAAGAGAGGAGAAAAATCGCATTGAGTTAGAAAAAAGGAATGCTAAAGAAAAGAAGGAAGCTGACCGGGAGTGGAAGCTGGAAATGCTTCTGGCAAAGCAAAAGGCAATGTTGAACGAAGAGTTCGAGAAGATGTTCGACAAGAAACTGCAGAAGGCTGTGGTATCCGAAACAGTGGTGAAAGGCAAAGCAGCGATGGCTGAGATGAGTACAGACGAGGAGGAGGAAGATCCTGTTGAGGAGCGCCTCGGGAAATGCAAGCGGCAACCTCCGGCTTTGGCGTGCCAAGCTAGCCCGCCTGGCGAATCGCCTTCGAAGGTGGGGAGGGCCTCGACTTTCGAACCGCCAGTTACTCCTCACCAGGACGATTCCCCGTGCCTTCGGGTACCGAGCAGACGTGACCGAACTGGTATGGAACAAGTTCCGAACAACTGGGATTTCCATTGCGGGAATCTACTTTGTGGGAAGGGGCACCTGCTGCCAGTGACTTCACCTCAGTGGTGGCACTGCGTAAAACTCTTCGTAAGTACCTGACTAAGATGACGAAGCCAGCGATTCAGGAAATGTGCAGGGAGGCGGGGGTAGTGTACTGAGGTCGACCTGATGCTACAGACGAACTGATAGAGCTGAGAGTTATGTACTTCAACACTGAACGAGCGCCGCAGCAAGTAAGGGCAGCAACTCCAAGACCACGAGGAGGTGGCATCGTCATCCGGGACGTCCAGGTGACGGAACGTGACCAGCCAGCTCGGAGATCCAAACCTGGGGCTGGGATTAATGGCCAATGCGACGAAGACCCGGTGGAGTGAGCTCGCCAAGTATTTGGAACTGCGTAAACTATGGGCGACAGACCCTGTGTTAGGGAATCGTCGCCTTCGTGAAGTGCTCGAAAGCGTGCTAAGATATCTATTTGTGTTACTTGTCTTGAATGAAGGGGTACAGTGGGGTAGAGAATTTCTAGGTAATTGTTTGGATTTCATTTATAACAAGTTATGGAACTGGGAGGAGCCGAGGTCATGTGTGTATGTGTTAATCGATCGGGGGGTACGAGCCGTGTATATCGGCCAGACTAGCAGGTCGTTGCTAACCCGGTGGGATGAACACGTATACCGTACAGACCACCCGGATGGAGCACGAAACTCCAAGCTGTATAGCTGGCTAAGAAACCACGGTTCTTCTAACTATATTGCCTTACCCGTCGCGTTTGCCACGGCTAGTGATTTGGTGAGAGTGGAAAGAGCTTTTATTGGGAAGTGGTGCCCCGCACTGAACGCTAAGGGGGTAAAGAAAGCAGGAAAGCAAACCAAAAGAAAAGGCAGGAAAGAAAGAAGAAAAGCGAGATCTTTGGCTTATCGCCCGGACCGACCAATGGTCTTCGAATCAGGTGGAGTCCGGTCTATTAACTTGACGGATGTGTGTAGGCGATCATGGGAGGAAACTAAGTTGGTGAAAACGGAAGGGGGAAGACTGTGGGTTCATAAGTGGCGTAAGCCTTAAGGTAGTGAAGGAGATTGGGGATTCAATGGTTATGATTGGTAATGATCGACAACGAATTCAAGAAATCAAGTCATGTTTGGAGCGTGGAGTAGGTTTTCAAATCGCAAAGCTTCAAACAAAAAGTCTATCGAAAAGCAGCAGCATTTTGAAACGGGAGCTGCACCAGTTGATTCGTAACCCCTGGTATAAGAAGAAGCTATATAATTACGATTTGGCAAGGCTCATGAAGCTTCTAAGTGAAGCCAACCTTTTTTCAAGAGAAGGGACCAGAAAAACTTTGAAGGAAGTTCTGGCCGGGGTAGGCGAAGATTTGGTTTTAATGCTAGAATGAAGTTGTGTGTGGGAAATACGTATGATCCGAGTCTATCACAGCGGAAGCTGCGTGAAGTGGTATGTTTGAAGTTTCGGGAGGAAATGTCGGAACCGCTTGCCGAATATGCGTGTCGTAAACTCCTAATGGTATGGAAGCGTAATCCATCCATTGGCGAGGTTATCCATAACCACCGTGCTGCCTCACAGCAGTCGGTAGGGGTTTGTTGTTGTGCAGATAGCGCCCTCCCAAGCCGGGAGGGTCACGTATTATGCAGGCTGAGCGAAGTCCAGGGCATGCAAGGGTTTGTTTTGAACGCCCGGAATATTCTATGTATGGGGGGAGTGAAGAAAGACAGAACGGTGACCGAAGTGATGTGTCTTGAAGTGTATGCAAAAGGCATGAAGGACACTTTTTGGGGAAACGAGAGTTTTAGCGCCGTATGGGAAGAAGAGAAGGTGTTGTTAAACAGGTGTGAAGTGGACTTTAAAGCAAAAAGGTTGGACGGATTAGGGAGGTGGGACAAGCAGGGGACAGTCGGCCGAGCCTACATTATCCCTAAGCATAAGGATATATGCAAGTTTCGGCCGATCAGCACCTCTTTTACTGAGCCTTCGAAGACAGCGAGCGGCCGTGTGGCCAAGGCGTTAAACCATTTGTTATTCTGCCTGCCAAAGTCCGTGCACTTCAATCTGAAGTCCACCGGCCTGTTGAGGGATCGGGTGATGAAAGTTAACCAATGGGTCGGAAGGAAAGGAAAGGGTGAGCTAGTAGGGGCAGCATTTGACATAAAGGAAATGTTCAGCCAACTGCCCCACGACTCTATCATGAACGCTGTAGCCTGGCTCCTTGATTGGTACAGGGGAAAGGGTCGTACGATGGTTAGCATTAGACGTAGGGGCAAGAGTGCGGCGTTCGCACGAAAGAATGGTAATGATTTCTGGTTGGAAGTGAGCTTCGAGCTGATCAGAGGGATGGTGGAATTCAAGTTGAAGCATACCTACGTTTCGGCATCCGGAAGACTCGTCCAACAGCATGTTGGCATCCCAACGGGGAAAAGCAGTAGCCCCCCACTGGCATGCATACTATGCGCAATGAACGAGTTTAATTTCCTGGCAGGGCTGGGCGCGGATCGTAGTCTGGCCAGGGGAATGAGGTTGATCGACGACGTCACAATGCCCGTTGAGGAATGGCGAAAGTCGCCTAGAGAAGACTCTGGGGATGTTTGAAAAAACGTATGATCAGAGATTTTTCTTAAAACGAACAGATGAGGGGGAGGGCACGTGGGAGTTTCTTGGAACACGCATGGAAATCAGAAGGAACCGCGTGTCATGTCAGAGTGTCCCAAAGAATTTTGATCAAATATGGGGGGAGAAAAAGATTTTCTCCTATCGTACTTTCCAGGATTTCGAATCTTTCTCCACGTTGAGACAGAAGAAGGCGGTCATCACGTGCATGTTGCATCGAATCCAGAGTATGTCAACTTCAGTTGAACTGGCAGGGCTTGGATTGCTATCTACAAAAAGACAACTGCGCCTGCAGAACTATCCTGCCTGGCTGTTTAATGACTGCCTGGGGAAGTTTGTGAGAAGACGCGCCCCATCGTGGGATAAATGGTGGTGCAGATTTGGAAGTTGGTAGGAGTTGAGGAGTAACTACAGAAGTGATAAGCATGGCGGGAATATGGCTACCTCATAGGTATTTGTGTGATGATGCAAGGGTATGGAAAGGTTTTTGAGGCCGTGAATACGGCCATTCGAAAACGTGGTACCTGAACCTGGGTAATAATACGAGGCAGGTGAGTMTCAGGCCAGCGGGAATATCGATGGAACCTGAAGTTGGCAAAAAACKTGGCACCTGAACCRGGGTAATACTRTGAGGAACGCGATCAGGCCACGCGGGCACACTGATCTGACATGCGGGCGGGAAACCTGGGCAATGCATCAGGCTGTGCTCTTCGTTTTTTGGAGGGGCGGCCAGAGCTTTGTTTTTCGGCGCCCGTCTGGCCGAACTCTTAGGAGAATCGGAACCTGCGGGATGAGTATAACTAGACTAGTACTGTAGCGTAGTAGCTATCTCGAACTCCCCCTGATGAGGCCGCTTCTGGCGGTGGCTGAAACTAGTCGGGGATGCCAGGCGCTTCCAACCTCATGCGTTTTCAATCTTTCCTGGCGGAGGAAGGGAGGTGACGCCATAGCCTTCGCTATGGCTGATATGCTTTTTCGTTCATATCTGTTCTTTGGGAACTATTTTCGAGATTGCTTTTCGCATAGGACTCTCGTCGTAAGTAGCACGGCCGTGTATGCAAGCGTTGTGGTCAGACCTTGTTTCTGACTTTCTGTTCTTATCTTAATTTTATAAGAGGAGTACCCGTCTCCCTCCACCACGCTCTCAAACACGTATGGGCCATGCTATCTTTCTTTCTTTGTATCGTTCCAATTTTAATTTTTAATTTTTAGGGTTTAAGGTCTACTTTGACTTTGAGAGTTGTCTGACTTTGACATTTTGAAAGTTTACCATTTCACCAGACTCTCAACTAAGGCCTCTTTTTTTTTTTTTTTTTTTGTTCCTGGCTACATAACCGGCGGCTTAAGGCGGACATTGATAGAAAACGGAGCTTTTTTTTTAATTATTATTTTTATTTTTAAGATGGACATTGAGAGGGGCACAGTTGGTGATTGCGTGCAGAACACGTGGGGAGTATGCATGAACTATGACGCATATCACAGCCTTGGTGTTGACTATCCCGCCAGCAGTGGACATGCTCATATGGGCCAGCTCTCTTTATCGTTTGCCTATACGAGAGCTAGTTGAATTCTGAGCATTGCCAAGCGAAGTCGGCATGAACAGCAGTAAGCCAGCAACGACATCTGCATCCCTCTGTATCCGAGCGGTGAGTCCATGGCCTTCTTCCTTAAGTTTTCCGACCTCTTTAAATAATATATTAAGTATTTAATTTATTTCGAGGAATTATCCTGAACAGCAAAGCCCAACTGTGAAGAACGAAGGAATTCAAAGCGGGGGTTCCGCAAGGGGGGTTAGTTTATTCCACTGCAGTCGTTTGGACTCCGAGTCTGTAATATAGGAAAAGGGATAAGGACCCAGCAGGCCCCAGCCCCACTGGTGCTATGGTCATGCTTGGAAAGCATGAACTTGGACCTAATCTCAGTATTTAGTATGTCACAAGAAGAATGGAGGCTACTAGCGAAGGGGATCCCTCGACCACCCACTGTCCGATTCATGTGTAACAGTTTTGAAAGTCCGGGCCTCACTGCAGCAACTCTGCATGGGTGCGTAAGAGCTAGCTCTACGTGTGGTAACTGTGGTTGCGGGCCTGACTGAGTTGCACACACTTGGTAGGTGGCTGATGGGTTGACTTCCACTCATGCTACTCCCCGAGTCCCTGGCCTGAAGAACATTCATTGATCATATAGCTCAGACGAGCCGTGCTGTCCTGTAACCTGCAGTGGGGCAGAATTGGTGGGCTTACCTGAAGCAAGTGGGGTTGCTCAGATGTTGGAGTGGAGATGGCCAACCCTGGTGCTCTTTTTTTTTTTTTTTTTTTTTTCCACAAAGGGCGACGACCTTGAGATATCATTATCAAACTGACCAGCCCCACAATTGTAGTATGCCACTCCTCTGCTTCCAGTGGCGTTCGAACTCAGCACCTGGTCTGTATTTCAACAGTTCAGTCCAGCGGTGTTTGTACCAACTGAGCT